GTTTTAAGTCAAATAAGTAATAAATTACACGGCTCTGAAAACTCACTACACTAACTCCTAAGATGTTCCCTTACTATAAGTAATTAAAATATTGAACTCACAACACTGGTAATTACAACATTACAAACGTACCATTTCTCTTTCTATAAATAGTGCTTGTGTTGATGGACGCCATTTTGAAATACAATGACATTATCTTTATCAAAGCCACACCCCCACATATGTCACATGTTTGAAAAGCCCAGGATGCCCTCTGTGGAGTGCAATTGGACTGAATGCTCTACAGAGGACAAACATGAATGGGTGGGTCTCTGGAGGATATAGATATGCACTTTTGGGGAGTCTTGTTCAATAGTCAAAGAAGATTATTTGTTTGAACTTAAATGTGATAATTATATGATTTTGACTCAATAAAGTGTCTCAATTGTAATACATTTGAGTATGTAAGTGCGTAAAACTGCAGTAATTAGTACAAATGACATCTAGTTTTACAATTTCTCACTTCTGGCGGATCTGACTTGACACATTTTTCTTAATATTGCAGAGTTTGTGATAATTATTCTCAACGAGGGTTATCGTCACCTTGCTGTCATTCACCTCCTGTGACTTGTAGATGTCTTTAAATGAAATGAATGAGTGTTGGGATGGATATAAGGAAGGAGGGATAGATGGACGGAGCTAAATAATATGAAAAAGACGACAGAAACAGGATCATCTGACAGATCAGGGTTGCCAAGTGTCGCCACACCAACTCTTGCAGCTATTTTACCCCAAAAAAGATAAGGGGGCGGTGGGGGAGAGAGGAAATGAAGGTAAGGCAGGTGGCAGGGACATAAAATGGGATTTCAGGTTTGAAAAAAAGAGAGAGAAATGAGTGAGCAAGTGATGCGTGGAGATGGGGTTGAAACAGGGGGAGGGATAAAGAGAGGAGAGTAAATGAGGGAGGGGAAGGGTGGAGTGTGGCAGAGAGAGACTCAGTCCATCATGCTGTGAAAAGAGGAAGGACAAAGTTTAAGCAGGATTTATCGGCCGTGTCTATTCACTGGAATAACGCTTGCGATATAGATCATTATGGAGGACACATATAGACATGCACCGGAGAGGGGTCACTCACTTTCTCTCAGAGGACCCCACCTCTAAAGCTGGACCTGTGGGGGGGGGGGCATTGATGGATTGACTTGTTGATGTCTTTCATTCATCAATATGTGTCCCCGGTGTGTCAGAGAACTCACAAAGTGTCTAAAAACGGGGAACAACGGAGCTGATCCAGATTTGCGTCCGATATGACGTAATATCTGAAATGTGGACCCACGGCCCCATCAGAAACGTTGCTATCAGAAACGTTGCTATCAGAAACAATGCCCGACTGTTTTGGACGTAATATGGTCTTTGTGTACATTAGCAAACATCGCTAACACTCAGAGCTAGGGTTGGGAACCGAAACTCTGTTCCAGATGAGAACCGATAAGAAAATGCCGGGTACCGGGTACCCATACAAAATACACAATTTCGGTTCTGCTTAACGGTTCCTAGACGCGGTAGACCCTGTATTCCACCGGGTCCGTCTGCGCCGCGGTGGCCCGGTGGAATACAGGGTAAGGGCGGACTGGCCATCTGTGTGTTCTGGAGAATCACAGAACGGCCGGTCGTCAGCGGGCCGTTGTCAGCCGGCTCGGTTCGCTGACGGCCGGCACCACCCTTAATTTTTTTAAACGGCATCATGTAAGTTGCGCTGACATGCGACAGACGTCCACAGTTGCCCCGCAGCGAGGCTCCCCCCGCCCTCCCGTAGAAAGTTCACGAGCTCAGTCACTTCATAACACCAAAGATAGATCGCAGTAATGCCTGTTGATAGCTTGCAATAGGCATAGCTCAGTTAAAATAAAGCACAGCTATTGTGCAATAAACTTGTATTGCATGTATATTTTTTACTTGTAAAAACGTCAGTTAAAGCTTAAAAGAATAAAGATATTTTTGTTATNGATGATGATTTGGAAATCCGCTTCACATTGATCGCAGCAGTTTTCATTGTGCTGTGTTGTACTAGGGTATTCTGTGTGTGTGTGTGTGTGTGTGTGTGTGTGTGTGTGTGTGTGTGTGTGTGTGTGTGTGTGTGTGTGCGTGCGTGCGTGCGTGCGTGCGTGCGTGCGTGCGTGCGTGCGTGCGTGCGTGCGTGCGTGTTTTGCTCAGGCTTGTGCAAGATTGTAATCCGCACACTCTTACTCCTCCACTCTTCTCTTTCCCCGCTGTATTATCCCGCTACTAGCTTGCAGATTAGTGAAAGTGGGAAAAGAACACACGGCTCTGAGGGTTTTTACACCCGGGGTAAACAGCATGTAGCTTTTGATATTTGTCATGAACAATAGCAGAGTATTTGGGAGCAGAACAATGGAAATACCCCACCTGAGCCTCTGGAGGAAGGGTGTAAAGTTCAAGCTATTTGAGCACGAGAAGACTCCAAAGACTCTCATGTGCCAAAACAAAACAAACCAGCAATAAAAGCAATTTTATGGTATGCGTAGACGTTGTAAAATAAATGATATGGCTCTAATAAGGCTGGCAATCCTCTGTCGTTATTGTCTAAGGAGGACTGAGTAATTAAGTATTTTAGATTTCGCAGTAACCCTGTCTTGTAAAACAATGTAATTAGAGATGATGCATGCATCTGTGTGGCTTTTTTAATAGGCTGCATCAATGAATTATGCAATATGCATATTCATTAACATTTGGAATGGGATTTTCTTACTTGTTATGCCACAGTGGTCATCATGCTGGGCACAGAAACACCGCAGGCTGGTTCATGTGCAGGACTCGGTCAGATGTTCAGCGAGGCCACATCAAACTGATATGTTGAGTTATTTTTAGGAGTAAAGTTTACATGCCTTTGCAGACATCCTTGTCTTGTGGTATGAACTCTTTGTAGCTATTTGCAGTCAGAGGCGGGCTTTCAAAAGTGTGGTGACGTCTGCAGTGCCCTTCACGTTTAATTTGAGTTCTCTGTCAGATAAAGTAGCTGTTTCCCAGAGAGCACTGAGATCCAGTTATACAAACATGAAGTCAAATATGAAACTGAAACGTATCTCATAGCAACTAATCTCAGCTGTTTTGTGACTAAAATACACAAATAGTAACTTAAAGATTCACTTGTTTCCATTTTTTTATGATAAGAATGGATGAAAACAGATACCAGTTGATCTTATACACTTAACCACCATATACGCACGTACGGTATATCCAGGTTTTGAACAAAGGAAAACCCATCAAAAATAGCTGATATATTATGTTCCCAAATGATCAGTATGCCTTTCTGTTTTTATTTCTGAAGTCGACGGCATTAAGGCAGTGTTTGTAATCAGTGGAAATGTTTTGTTGGGTAGTTCTTTTTTTATATCTGTTTATTATTCAGTCTTTGTTTTTGAAACTCCAAACGAGAATTGGTGATTGTTGAAACAAGACTAAAAAACACAGATTTGAATCAGAGTGCGTTTTGTGATTAATGGAGGCTGGTGGCTTTGGGGAGATGATATTGATTGTATGTTTCGTACATTAATATATTGATATCATTGTATAAATCCCTGTAGATGTTGTTGATTATATGTTAAATTCAACGTGTCACCAATTATAACCTTTCCCACTTACTTATTCCTGCATTTTTCTTGCACCATTTTGTCCCTTGCACTATTTTCCCTCCTTTTTTTGACCTTCAGTATATCATACTTTTGGAAGAGCCTGGGACTTTAATCATTTAATTGTAAACAGCTAAGTTGTAGCTATTGTATATGGCAATAAAGCTTTAGAATTTAAAGACATGAGTCACATGTTAGTGGGTTTTTTCCAGCGGGAGAAGGGGCTTTTTCAATACAAAGTTCCCTAATGATCTGTTCTCCTCCCCCTCCTTCAGGTACTGTAACGAACACCTGCCCTGCCCCACCCATGTCTACTGGTCGGCCTGGTCTGCGTGGGACCGCTGCACCCAACCCTGCGGCGGAGGTATCCAATCACGACGCAGGACCTGTGAGAACGGCGACGAGTGTCCCGGGTGTGGTCAGGTATGTCACGAAAACCCACAAAAACCCCCTCACACGCACCCAATCTCATCCGCCGCCACCCCCCCCTCATTGTTCAGGAACTCAGCCGCAGACATTTGATGCCACGAGCGCTGATGAAATGCAACATCTAACACGACCAAATCCCCCGGCTATATTTACTCAGTGGCAGCAGCCATCAGATTTATTATTACCGAGACATATTTAATGCCACACACACAGTAATCACTCACATATGAATAGGCTTTATTTCTGCACAAAAGCTGCCTGGATGATGCAAGGAAGTGTTGAAATACGAGCGCTCTTCTCCATGACAGAATTATGTGATGCCCGGGTTATTTCTGGTGCTATTTCCACACATCTGCAATCCTGGTAAAAATATAGCGTGAATGAACCTGATAGCTGCTGCTGCTTCTTGTGTCTCTCTCTGAAGAAGGATTAAGGAATATGGGTCAGGGTCTTGTGGATGCACAGATCCCTGAAGTGTGTTTTTGTTGGTT